GGAAGCACTGCCACGAAAGCATGCCTCATTTACTCATCCTTGCTCCATGCACAAGAAACATCTGGGGGAAAAAAAAGAAAGACATGTAGCTCCTGTTTGTCATGCACAGGGCGCGCCCACACATGAGCTTTACTGCAAAGTTGACTAATTAGCTCTGCAGTAAAGCATCGCCACTATTAGGCCACAATAAATTAATCAGCTCCACCAGAGGACTGAACTGCCCGACACAAGTACTACCCTACCGCGGAGTTAGTGTGCCGTGACGCACATGTAGGTGGTGGCTGGGGCATAAGGGTGCTGTTGGCTAGCCCAGCACTGGAGAACCCTCGCGCCCGATCCAGCCCCTCCGCAGCACACTGAGCCGGGACGGAGCAGTTCAGACCCCCCAGGCTCCCCACCAGCTGGGGCTGTGCTGCCCCAGCTCAGCATGCTGTAGTCCCAGGTGCATGTCTAAATGCCGCGCCCGGGAACAATAAACTCCAGCACAAACTGTGCCAGAGTTTACTGCTTCACATTAATAGCACATGTAGACGTGCCCACTCAGTGCTACTGTTTGGCGCTCAGCCTCAGGCATGCTTACTGGCATGTGTCAACTACGTTTCATTTTTTTGGCATTGGGAGCGCACCGAACGGGAGCGAGTGGGTGCCTCTACGTGCTAACAGGAGACATTCACACGTAGGCTCCTAAATATGCATTCTGCTTGACAAACCTCCTAGAAATCCTCAGGTGCAGTGAGGAACTTCAGCTGCGCAGCACCGCTGGAAATCAAGACACTTTAATAAGTGCCTCACTCCAGGCAACTAACTTGGGGTTATGTTTTTCACCAAACTGAATCAGTGGTCGAATCACCTCTAGAAACCGGGGTCCAGATTCCCAGCCCCCTGCTCTCTAGATCTAGATCAAATTCTGGTTTTGCGTGTAAATTAATTTCTGTAAAATTTAAAGTCTTTAGGAAATAGAACCTGCCAGAAACAAAAAGCAAAGGTCTGGCTGGGGAAGAGAGAGAGAGAGAAAATGAAATACCTTTGGCTCCCAATGGCCACCTATGACCGACTCACAGGAACTCTTATTAAATACGGTGAACTAGGAAGAAACAGAAAGCAACTGACTGAAGTCTGCTGCAAACAAAGGAAATAAAATAATAAAATAAAATGTAGTGCTATAATCATGTTGGAAAGCCAGGCACTTGGAATATACACCCTGCTTAAAAATGTGAGAGGGGAGGGCACGATTGATACGACAAGTGCAGATCGACGGTACAACACACTCATTTAGACTACGGACGTAACCGAACTCCTTCCACAGCACTTTCGAACACGTTAAGTGTAAGAAGCTGCCTTATGTGTCCTATGATGCATCTACTAGTACTTGTATTAAAGGATAATAGAAATGGCTTGAAAACATACTTTTTCTAGGCCAGATCAACTGCTGAATAAGAGATTAATAGTTTCTGAATATTTTCTCACTTTGTGAATAGGCTCGGTTATGCAAATTTCACGTTTTGATGCGATTACATACGAAACAACAAATGTATCGCATTTCCGAAGCAACGGCACTCTCAAGTGAAAAGGAATGAATTTAGAGGACTCAGACCCGGCCTTAGAGAATGTGTTTACGGAGGAAAATATCAAGTTAGAAACCACATTAAGCAAACGCTGTTGAACTAACACAACGTTACACACGGACTTCGCAGATAGCGCTGATGAGACTGTATCGTGCTAAAAATTGTTTTCAAGCAACAGTTAAACTTTTGGATTAGCCTTTTTTTTTTTTGCCTACGCTAGATACTAAGTTAACATCCTTTTGGTTAAAAGGTAGTACATTTTCTAACAAGCGATCCTTTTCCACAATGGAGAGAGAGGTGGAGAGGTTATGACACAGAACATCTTGCTAACACTTTTATGGCTAGCTGCTAGAACCAAACATCAAGACATGTGGCTCCAAAGTAGAGGGAAGAGCAAATGCAGTGTATAGGCCCAACAGCAAGCTCTACAGATGAAGGGCTCCTAAACCTGCCATGTGGATATTACTGGCGACAAGGACAGTCCTGTGTCCTCGATCTGCCCCTTTGGGGCCAGGATCTGCTGCTCGTCTTCACTTCGATTTCCCACCGGCCTCCCGGATTCAAAGCCTCTCCAAAGAAGTATACGGCAGCCTCAGCTGCTCTCTTGTTTTCTAACCTCTCCTCCTCTCACTCTTCCTTGCTCCTTAAGGAAGGCTTGGCCTTTCCACTCCTTGAACCGGCAGTAATCGATAGTTTGGGTAGCAAAGAGGACTTTCCTAACGCCTGACCTCTTTTACTGAGGACATAACCCACGGGAAATCTGGGGGGAATGGCCTGTCACAAAGAAGAAAGTCAGCTTTTTAATGAACTGGCAAATAATTCCAGTATATTATAAAAATTCATATGCTTTGATTATTAGCTAAGAAAAAAAAACCCATGAATTTTTATATGATACAAGGACTGAAAAATGCTCCTTTGCTCCCAATTATAATAAATATATAATTATGGGTAATTATATCTGTACATCTTCCCTGGTCCTCAAATGCCTGAGACAGTTCCAGAGCTGCAGAATAGTTCAGATAACTGATGCTCTTGTTTTAAGCATCTTTAACATGAACTACTTTTACTAGATGTGCTTCCATGAATACAGAGTCCTCATGCAATTTTTTTAAATATTACCAATAGCAGCTCTAACTATTAACTATTATATCAAGTGATTTTTTTCCCCCCCAAGGAGGGAGAAATTAACTGGTATTCATATTTTCCTGTTAAAATATCAGTCTTCCAAGACTAATTCTAATTTAATTATTGGCTTAATTAGTTTCAAGATTTCAGATCTGGCTTTAGAAAAAAAGGAAAGCGTTGCAACTGTAGAGAATTGCCAACATATTTATATCCCCTCGGTGAGGAGTCCATAAGCACGAAATTTCAAACATCGGCAAGCAGCACTTGGGAATCGCTGGCAATGATGAACGCGGTATCCCAGGAAGCGTTATAAAGAGAAATAAGAAAGGGAAAGAAGGAATCAGAACCGGGTTTGCAATATTGAATGGTAGACTTCCCGAAACATTTTGGGATGAGGAAGAGAACAAACCCTCAAATGGGCTCAAAGTGATCCCAAAGTTGGGAAAAAAGAGAGAAGAAATGTGAGTGGAATGAGTATTATTTTATACAGGTTTCCCTCGCTTTATGCAGGTTCTGTATGTGCAAATTTGCTCTTATGCGATGACCCTTTTTATACCAAAAATGCATTATATGCAAGGTAAGTTCACTCTTATGGGATCAGTGTGGTGGAAGCCCACAGTCAGCTGCTTTGTGCGGCGCGTGGTGGCAGCGACAAGCACCAAACTGTGGTCTCCCGTGCGGATCTGCGCTCCTGGCTCCTTGCGTGCGACACGCGTTTCTGTGGTCGCCACCCCCATGATGACAGTGCCCTGTGCTTGTGTGCACTGTCATCTGCTGTTGGCGAGTCCCAAAACTGTCTTGTAAAAGTGGTCGAAATGGGTCTGCGGGCCGGTACAGTCGAGGTCTTGGCCTATTTGTTACACGGCAGGGGTGACTTATAGGGAGTACACACGGGTACACACGCACCCCCTGAACGTGGCGGCACACCCTCTACAAAAAGCCTGCTCACCGACACCACTGGCGGCGCGTGCAGGCGGTCCGCGATCCCCGCTGGTCGCCACTGGCTGCAGGCG